TTCTTATCCTTTAACAGGATATTTTGGTGAGCAAAGTTTTTAATTTTGATGAAGTCCAGTTATTATCATCGGAATTCCCTTTGAGTTCCCATCTGTTACTGGCGGAAGTAGAATTCTTGGGGTGCTGCTGGGAAAATAATTTCTGGGGACCCCCATGGGAGGATGAGGTTTTGTGGAAAGCTTTACTGATGATGTAAAATTAAGGGAGTTCTCCTCCAAGGTCCCATCACACTCCATCTCGTCAAGGAACAAAACCCATCTTGTCTTCAGCAGGGCTAGGATGAAAGCCACTGCCCAGAGCCCCCACTCCATATTAAAGCACAGCCCAGTCCAGCATCTGACTAGCTGCAGCCCATGTGTGTGGGGTCTGCATGGCCATGGGCCATGCGGCTGCTAAGGTCCTGGCAGGCTAGCACACAGGTAAGTGAGGGTTACCACAAACAAGCTAGAAGTGTGTGTGTGTGGGGGGGGGGGGGGAGGCGGGGAGAAAGAGAGAGAGAAATTTTTGTCCAGGCATTATAATCAGTTTAACTCATTAACCTTCAGGGTTCCATGGGCTTGCAGTGGCTCTTCCCCTCTAGCCGGTTAGTTGTCTTTTCCCCAGGTTATACTGACAGACAAGCACCTTCCCTATGTCATGCCGACTTCAGTGTGCATGCACCATCTCCCCCTTTGCTTTTTTCTTATTAATAGTAACAAACTAGTTAATTATGACAATAACATGATTGTTCCATTTTTTTTTTCTTTTATGGATTATTCTTTTGGTGTCATGTCTCTACCAAGTCCTAGGTTCTACAGATTTTCTCCTATATATTTTTTTTAAATGTTTCACAGTTTTACATTTAAGATTATGCTTCATTTTGTTAATTTTTATATAACTTTGATGAAATTTAGATCATAGGTTTTATTGCCTGTGAATATCCCAATTTGTTGAAAAAGACTATTCTTCCTCCATTGAATTGCTTTTGTACCTTTGCACGTGTCAGTTGGTAGTACTTGTGGGGGTCTATTTCTGGCTTTTCTGTTTTCTGTTGACCTGAATCTCCATCTCTCCGCAAGTACCACACTGTGTTGGTAACTGTGACTATGAAATAAGCCTTGAAACTGAGTAGCCTGACACTTCTAATATTTTTTTTTATTTTTGTACATTTTTAAGTTATTCTACTTCCATTCCATTCAAATTTTGGAGTAATCTTAATTTATATTTACAATAAACCTTGCTGGGATTTTGATAGGAATTGTGTTAAAACTGAATATCAATTTGAGAAGATTGACATCTTTATTATGTATGAACATAGTATATCTCCACTTGTTTAGATCTTTATTTGATTTCTTTCATTTGCATTTTGTAGTTCTACCATACAAGTTCCGAGCATGTTTAGACTTATACTGAAGTGTTTCACTTTGTAGAGCAATTGCATATGGTATTATATTTTATTTCTGTTTACATGTGCTCTCTGCTGGTATATAGAGAGTTACTAATTTTTATATGTTGAGCTCGTAATTCGGTGACCTTGATATACTCAATTGTTCTTCCAGTATTATGTTGATTAACAATGATGAGATGGGACATCCTTGCTTTGTTCCTAATATTAGAGGAAAAGCATCCAGTCTTTCATCATTAAGTATGATGTTACTTACAGGTTTATTTATTTATTTTTTATCCATTTGAAGACATTCCCCTTATGCCTAGTGTTCTGGGAGTTTTTATCGTGAATGGATATTGAATTGTGACAAGTGCTTTTTCTGCATCAATTGATAGAATGATGTGATTTTTCTTCCTAAGCCTGTTAATATGGTAGATTATATTGATTGAAGTTTTAATGTTGAACTAGCCTTGTATCCTGGAATAAACACCAGTAGATCATGATATCCTGTGCTGACATAGTGCTAAAATCTATGTGCTAAGATTTTGTTAAAGATTGTTACTTTATAAGAGATATTAGACTGTAGTTTTTGTGTTTTCTTTGTCTGATTTTGATATCAGGTTAATATTGGCTTTCTGATATTAATGAAAAAGTACTCCTTTCCTATTTTAGGGAAGAGAATATATTAATTTTTGTGTTATTTTTTCTTTAAATGTTTGGTAGAATTCTATAGTAAAACAATCTGGGTTTAGAACTTTCTTTTTCTGAAGTTTTAAATTTATATATCTACTTTTCTTAATAGTTACAGGGCTACTGAAATATTTGAGTTGAAGTACGTTGTGATCTTCGAAGAATTGGTTCATTTTATCTAAGTTTTCAAATTTATGTGTTTGATATTTTCTTACTTTCCTTTGATGTCTGTAGTGATATCAGATATTAGAGCTTCATTCCCAATACTATTAATTTGTGTGTTCTCTCTTTTTTCTTTCAGTCTTGCTAGAGATTGGTCAATTTTGATTGATGTTTTTTCAAAGAACCATCTTATGTTTTATAAATCTTCTGTTTTCAATTCATCGCTTTCTACTCTTATATTTACAAGTTTCTCTGTGTTTTCACTGCATTCCAAAAATGTAGTGTGCTGTATTTTCATTCAGATCCATGTATTTTTTAATTTCCATCGAGATTTCCTCATTGACCCATAGATTATTTACAAGTCTATTGTTTCATTTTTAAATGTTTATTTTCCTGTTATCTTTCTGCTCATGACTTCTAGTTTGATTTTTATAATGGTCAGAGAATGCACTGTCCAATTTAATTCTTTAAAATCCTCTGAGGTTTGTTTTAGGCTTTCTGAGCCTGTGGTGGAAGTTCTGTGTTTGCTGAAAAGAGTGCTGCTGCTGTTGGGCCGAGTGTCTCGTGTCAGTTAGCTTCTGCTGGTTGACGGTGCTGCTGACTTCTTTAATATCTTTGCTGATTTTCTTTCTAATTGTTCAATCAGTTATTGAGAGAGCAGTGTTGAAATCCCTCTGTAATTGTGGACTTGACTGTTTTTCCTTTCTCTTTAAAAAATACATTTTTATTGATTTCGGATAGGAAGGGAGAGGGAGAGAAAGATAGAAACATCAATGATGAGAGAGAATCATTGATCAGCTGCCTCCTGTCTGCTCCAGACTGGGATCAAGCCTGCAATCCAGGCATGTGCCCTGACCGAGAATCAAACCATGACCTCCTGGTTCATAGGTTGACACTCACCCACTGAGTCATGCTGACAGGGCTGTTTTTCCTTTCAATTGTAACAGTTTTGTGTCACATACCATACAACTCTGTTGTTCGGTTCCTTTAAAATTATGTCTTACCCAGTCAGCATGGCTCAGGCTCATTTCCCAGTGTGGGGTATGCAGGAGGCAATCAATGATTCTCTCTGATTATTGATGTTTCTCTCTCTCTCTTCCCCTTTCCCTTCCTCCCAGAAATCAATAAAAAAAAAATATTTCTCTTGACCTTTTAAAAAATGACTAGAAAAACACACATGGGAATGCCACAACAATGGGAAACTAAGCATTCAATATTACAGAATGGTTCCAAAATTTTTTTTTAAGTTTGATTTGCTAATCTTTGCATTGTAACTGCAGAACTAGTGATTTTGAGTGCAGTCTGATTGACAGCAGTGATACAAGGTAGAATAGACAGTAGAACCAGGGGCCTAAAAAGATTGCAGGCAAGTCAGAATTTCAGTAAATACCCAAAGTGCCTCTCATCATTTATTGCATATCTCTGGGCCACTTAAGCACTGTTATCAGTTGCATGATTCACCATGGCAATTGATGAATGAAAAAACTCAATATATATTTCCCCCCTGTAGTGTTTTAAAACTTTTGGTTCTGAAAAATGCCTTTTGAATTGTGCAGTGCCAGCACAGTCAAGGGTTCAGCAAGCCTGAGGGATAGCCGTGAAGGATGTAGAAAAGACAGAATAAGCTGGGTCTAGGTTGATCTTCCTGTGCCTGGCTGAGGCCACAGAGAAAGAGCCTTTATTTTATAGCCAGAGGTAAACAAGGTAGTGGTCACCATAGTTACAATGTCCTTGTGAGTTTCACTTGTTGTGGCAGCACTTGCTGCATCTCCCACAGCCCATTAGCTACCCAGGAAGGATCTAGGGAGTGTCATAAGGTCAGGCTTAATTATGCTAAGAGGGCTGTGCCCTCCAAGCTGGGACTTGTTTCTGGCTTTGCCAACAGGTCAGTCCGAGGCTTAACCCTATAGCTGCTCCCTGCATTGAACTCTCTGTCTCATTCTCTCTTTGTTTTTCTGTTAAATCTAAGCAGCAAGGAAGTATTTTTTCTTTTCTGTAATTTAAAAACTTTTTGTCAGGTTTAAATTACTTGAAGGGTAAATCTGAATATTGACTCATGACAAAGCAGAAGTCCATAATCCATCCATTTTATAAGCATTTATGTCAAACCAAAATCCTTTCATGTCTCCCTGTTAGTATGTTCACATTCACTCCTAGGACTGTATCTCCAGAAGTGAGAGAGGGTATCTCAGCCAAAGGTCATTAAAAAAAAAAAAAAAAAAATATATATATATATATATATATATATATATATATATATATATATGTGTGTGTGTGTGTGTGTTTGAATTATTTATTTATTTATTTATTTATTTATTTATTTATTTATTTATTTTTATTTTTTTACAGAGAGGAAAGGAGAGAGGTAGAGAGTTGGAAACATCAATGAGAGAGAAACATCCATCAGCTGCCTCCTGCACACCCCCTATTAGGGATGTGCCTGCAACCAAGGTACATGCCCTGGACAGGGATGGAACCTGGGACCTTTCAGTATGCAAGCCAACACTCTATCTACTGAGCTAAACCAGTTAGGGCTGATAGACATAGTGCCCACTTTTCCCTTATGTCCCCACCTCCACACACCTTCATGGTGCACTCTCATCTATTTGTTACCAGCACTAGTTCATATTCATGTTCCTTTCACTCAGTGGGAGACTCCCAACCACAGGGCATGGGCTGAGTAGAAAGTTATCCTACAGCCATTCATTTAAAAAAAGAAATAACCACACTCGTCCTTCTCCTCAGTGACCCTTTCTCAGCTCTGCTTTCTTGAAAACCAAGATGAGCTACACTCACTTTGAGAAGTACGTGATGAGAATGGTTGACCTGTTCCACAGACACACCAAACCTGATGACATGATTGACGAGCCGAGCCTGCTGATGTTGCTGAAGGAGAATTTCCCTAACTTTGTCAAGGCCTGTGAGAAAAAGGACAACAATTATTTGTCCTATGTCTTTGAGGAAAGGGATCAGAATAAGGATAAGAAGATCCAGTTTTCGGAGTTTCTGTGCTTGGTGGGGGACATAGCCATGGACTACCACAGGCAGAGCCACGGAGCCTCACCCTGTTCGAGGGGAAGACAGTGATCATACCCAGACCCAGGCCACCAGAAACCACAAGAAATGATAGTGTCCCTTTTGCCCAGAAAAATAAATAAATAAATAAATAAATAACCTTGCAATCATTTGAAACAAAGCCAACTATTACTTTTAAAAAGCTACCTGCTTTCAGTTAAGCAGGAAATTATCTAAGAAGCCACTTAATTTGCTTTGTCTGTAGTCCCGCCACTGCTTTATGCTGAGTAGAGCATGAAATTAAATATGTAGTAACAACTATCCTAATGGTAACGTTCCAGAATGCTGGCGTTGGAGAATCTTTGGTATTCTGAGGGATAACAAATACAAAAACATACCAATCATAGACTATGGCTGCATTGGGTTTGAGAAAAACAAACTATTATTAATGTTCTCTATGTATTTATATATATAGCTCTATAGGTTATATATATTTTAAAACTATTAAGTTTAAAAATGATTTTTCTATTATACATACAGAAAGGGTAGTCATACATGTATGGAGAAATCTCTCTGACAATAAAATGCTCCCACAACCCCCATCCATGGAAATTCTTACACTATTTTCTTGGGTCCAGCTGTAAAGTGGATTATTGAAGGATCTAGTAAAGGAGAAGGTCATACTGAATTTTTAACATTTGTTGAATAAATGCTAATACTAATCCCTTGTTTGAGTATTCATCTTTGTTAAGAGCCAAGAATACATGCTGTTTGCAATGGAGAAAGTGTTTATGTAGACATATAAGGGCACTAGTTTATGCAGGAGATTTTAGAAGCATTACTAAAGTGACACTTCAATCCGTACTTAACAATGTTGTAAATGCTAGATGGTTCTCAGAGACTCCTATTTATTTAAACATTTTTTACAACTTTGAAACTATTTTTATACTAGATAAATCTTTTCAAACACTAATCATATTATATGTAAACGCTTTAAAAAAAATCTCTGTATAAATGCAGATAAAAGCATCCTTGTCCTTTTGTAGTTTGTATTCCAAATGAATCCTTTCCTTTCTTTTCTTTTATTTTTTTAAAGAAAAAAACTAGGTTAGACATCCTGCCAGGTTTACCAGGAAATTTTGCCAAATAAATAGAAGAATTTGGGTATCTTGTTCCCTATGTGTGAAGCAGGACAAGGTTGAACTGAGACAGCTTGCAAAGTTCTAGAGTTACTCTGGCACTCATTAATTTTATGCTAAAGATGCTTAAAATTCTAATTTCTATCATTGAGTCGAACAACACTTGATATTGTTAAAAAATACTTCAAGTTTTATAAATTATTATCTACAAAAATTCTCTGAGAAGCTACAAAAAAGATACCATGACAATTTATGGAGCTTTGGATATTTTTCTAGGACAAAGAAGTTTCCCTTCTTCAGTTGTTCTTCCGCTTTTCTTGATCAGAGAAAGAGCCTAGAACTCAATCACATAGGATCCTTGAGCCAAAATTTGTGTGACCTGGAGAGAGATGCTTACCTTCTTTTAACAAAACAAACAAATATATTTTTATTGATTCCTGAGAGGAAGGGAGAGGGAGAGAGAGAGAGAAACATCAAGGACGAGAGAGAACCATTGATTGGCTGCCTCCTGCACACCCCCTACTAGGGATCATGCCCACAATCATGCATGTGCGCTTGACCAGAATTGAACCCGGGACCCTTCAGTTGCCAGGCTGACTCTCTGTCCACTGAGACAAACCAGCCAGGGCAATGCTTAACCTCTTTGAGTCAAAGTCCAATAAACTGTAAAACTGTTTATGTATACAATGGGGGTAATGATTATTGTTTATCAGAATTGTGAGGATTGCTGTGTAAGATAAGAGAAGCATCCTTTAGAGTGACTAACACATAGTAGGGCTTTATTATGGTTTACTTGGCTTCATTGAATTGGTGGATCATTTTAGCTTTCTTTTCTGTTTTCTGTCTGGCTGTGGCAGGTCATATGGCAACCATTCCATGTATTTTATTTTATTTAGTTCTCCTAAACAACCTGGTGAGGTAGGTCTTATTATTATTATTATCCCATTTTCCAGCTGAGAACATCAGAACCCAGAGACTGATAGTAGATTACTCACCGTTTCAGGAAGAAATAAGCAGGTCAGGGTGGCACTTTGAGTTCAAGAGGACTTCTTGCCTGGAACTCAGCCAGAACTTTTTTCTTTAATAAGATGTACGTGCATTATTGTCAGCCTGCAAAACCTGTATCCACTTTACTGTGTGTCTTTTGTCATGAAACGTTAGTGACAGAGTGAAGGATAATAATAGTTGTAACTCTAGTCCAAGGGGCTTGAAGTAGACAGACTTTAGGACATGGAATTAGTTCCCAGAATGGCCAAATCTTCGTTAAAAAAAAAAAAAAAAAGTTACGATAGAATAGTTCAATTGCATTTATTAACAAGCACCTAAAAACTAATTTTAATTAATTAGTTAATTTTATAGTGTCAACGTAAGAAACATTCAAACCTATAGAGAAATTTTGAGAATTTATTTGAGCCAAATTGCTGACAGCTGCCAAGAAGTACAATTTTAATGGATTGAGATAATGCTCCAGAGAATGGCAGTTTTGCATCTTATACATTATAATAAAAAGAGAAGATGTACATGGGTTACATGAAATCCATTGGTGATAGATTAGGGAGGTAGAAGAAAGCAAAACTGGTGGGGTTGAAGGGAACCTCTGGGATTGGATAAAAAGTACAAGGATAGACACAGGCTTCCTTTACATAGCAGTTTCTTTACAAAGGTGGGCACTGGATAGTTAACAGTCAGCAATAACAATGAGAGCTGGCCTCTCCGCCCTGAGGGGTCTGGAAAAAAAAGGAAGTTCCCCTGAAATCCCAAAGGTATGTTATCTAGATGCAAAAAGACAATAGACTCAATTAAGGTGAAAGTTGATCTTTGTCAGGGAAGATTCTAGCCTGGGACATGACCACCCACTATAAACTGCTTTTAGTTTAAATTTTTTAATTTCAGATCATCCTATGTGATTACTTTAGGTCTCTGAGTTTCTAAGTTGGGCACACAGTCCTTCTCTGAGCTTGTCAGGTTTAGTCTGTGGCCTCTTACCATGAGAAAGAGAGAGAGAGAGAGAGAAAATTAAATGGAAGAATTAATGAATAAATGAATGACTATTTCTATTTTCACTTTAGCATTAAATAAAGTCCATGGAAAAAGGTCAGCAAATATAGGATGAGGCAAAAGTAGGTTTACAATGTGAGTATGCAGAACACAGAGTATGTTTTTGAGTTATTATTTATTAACTAGAGGTCCAGTGCACGGCATTTGTGCATTCGGGGGGGAGGGGAGTGGGCTTCCTCAGCCAGGCCTGTGCCCTCTTGCAGTACAGGAGCCCTTGGGGGATGTCTGACTGAGCTTAGGGAATAGACCTAAGCAGTCGTACATCCTTAGCGCTGCTGCAGAGGTGGAAGAGGCTCCCTGCCGCTGCACTTGCCAGCTGTGAGCCCAGCTTCTGGCTGAGTGGTGCTCCTGAGAGTGTACTGACCACCAGGAGGCAGCCCCTGCATTGGGCATCTGTCTCCTGGTGGTTAGTGTGCATCATAGTGACCAGTCTTTTTTTTTTTTTTTTTTTTTTTTTAATATATTTTATTGATTTTGTACAGGGAGGAAGGGAGAGAGATAGTTAGAAACATCGATGAGAGAGAGTCATCGATCAGCTGCCTCTTGCACACCACCTACTGGGGATATGCCCGCAACCAAGGTACTTACCCTTGACCGGAATCGAACCCGGGACCTTTCAGTCCCCAAGCCGACGCTCTATCCAATGAGCCAAACCAGTTTCAGCATAGTGACCAGTATTTCATCCATTTGGTCTATTTGCATATAGCCTCTTATTATATAAAATTATTATATTATTTTCTATATGTACAACTGTAAACCTGCTTTTGCTCCACCCTGAATATAGTATGCATATCCCTTGTCTATCCTCCCTTGCTAATGGATTACTCCATCCTGCTGAGTCTGAAGGTAACCTCAGAATCTTTGTCAATATAGGACCTGTGATGTCCCTATCAGTTAACCTAAATTGCATTTTAAAGAAAGTGAGACCTATTAACCCTGGATGATCATGGATATTTATGCTTAAACTTACCACAAAGAGGAGTTCAAAGATAATTTTCCTAAAAGAGGTGTCACTCTTATTCTGGAACACTACAATGTATAATCTAGTATGTGATAGAAGAGAAAATAAATATATGAGAAGAGGATTAAACAAAGAAATCTATACTAATAAAAACCTAGGCAGCCCTTGCATCATCACAAGATGGCCACCACAAGATGGCTGTCACAATATGGCTGCCACAAGATGCCAGCAGGGGAGGGCAGTTGGGGATGATCGGGCTGGCAGGGGAGCAGTTAGGCATTAATCAGGCCAGCAGGGAAATGGTTAGGGGGTGATCAGGCAGGCAGGCAGGCAGGCAGAGGCAGTTAAAGGCAATCAGGCAGGCAGGTAGGTAAGTGGTCAGCAAGCAGTCCTGGATTGTGAGAGGGATGTCTGGCAGTTGGACATCCCCCGAGGGGTTCCAGACTGGAGAGGATGTAGGCTGGGCTGAGGGACACCCCCTCCAGTGCATTAATTATATGCACCAGGCCTCTAGTGTCTATAATTTACATTAGCAATATTGTTGCTAATGTAGTTAGAAAGGGAGGGGATGAGGAAGGAAGGAAAAGAACTATCTTCTGACTGTCAGTCTGTACACAGTCAAAACAGGGCTGGGGTTGAAATAAAGATCTCATAATTTCAATTTAATGACTTTTACTTATTTATTCATAAAAAATTCTGGGTTTATATGTAATTTGTGAAGCTGGCAGTGGGCATGCAAAGATAGATAAGATGTGGCCCCTGTCCTCAAGGGGGACTCCAAGTCTAATGAGGAAAGTGGAAGGTAAACAGAGCATCACAATATCACAATTCTATGTGGTCTTGCTGCAGTAGTCAGGTATTTAGTAAATGTACTGACCACTAGAGTATGGTGCTTCTCTTTTACACACCAGTGG